AAGAAAAGTACATTAAAAATGTTAATGGTATATATAACACATGACAAGGCCTCTTGTGTCATAAGATTAATGGTTTCCTATAATACAAGACTTTTAGAGTATAATCCAACTCTGTTAAAGATCCATGGAATGGCCAACTATGTACTTATATATCCATATATATATATAAAAAAACAAAATAAAGAGATAGCTAAGTTTCCCAAAACATAAAGGAATAAAATGATCAGAGACTAATGAAATAGTTAGTCTGGTTCTATCATCAGCAACAACCCTGTAAAATTATAATAATAATTCCATTTATCATACGTTCATCCATATTTGTCATAATAATCAGTGATTAAATCATTATTAAGGTTGATATGAACATATTTTATTATGTTACAAAAACAAAAATGGAATAAGCAGCATTCCTTGTCTATATAAACCCTCTCCACTCTGAATGATAAAGGGAAATAACTTCCCTTAGTGAGGCTTGTAAAAATTTTAATAATAGGACTGGCCTATGTCACCTACTCTACCTACAGAGTCCTTTATCCTTTGAATATGAATTTTACAATTTTTATAGAAGGCTAAATGCATTTTAAAATCAGGCCAGTATTTTGACTGCTTGATGCCCAGTAGTAAGGAAGAAGATTTTCAAGATTGAAATTTGAATTAAGTTTAATGGTTTAGGCCCCACCCTCAGGCCCCAGGGGTAAGAGATTTTAAGATCCCCTTTTGCTCCCCTTTATGCTTTGTGCCAAAATTGGTTGAAATTGGATAAGCTGTTCCAGAAAAGAAGCTGAAATGGCTCAAAACATTATGAAACGGATGGACAGGATGCACAACGTTGGACAATAACAGATAGACATAAGTCACCTGTGTGACTCAGGTGACTTAAAAATGCATATAGACCATATTTAGATTCATTAAGATTAAATAAGATGTCATTGGTGTGTCCTTGTGGTATCCTTGTGGTTCCTTGTCATTCCTTGTGGTTCCTTGTCATTCCTTGTGGTTCCTTGTGGTTCCTTGTGGTAAAAAGACATACCCGTTACTGAACGCTGTACTATAAAAGATAAAAATATTTTAGTTTGAAAATAAATATGTTTATTCTTATTTGATATAAAAAAAAAAAAAACAGTACAAATAAGAGAACACTTCTGATTTATAGAATGAGTTATAACAGTTGTAACACCCATTCATATATATTTCCGTGCCAAGACGATTCCGTGTAAAAAAGAAAAGGAAAAAAATGAACAAAGGTCTGTGGACATACTGCATAAATACATTCCCTTTTTACTGCAATAATATTTTATGTGTCATTTCTATTTTTTATGATGATTTATTAAGCAAACTTCTACATGTACATGTACCTGTAGACATTTTCCCGTTATTAAACTCGGACAAGATTATACAAAGAGGCATTCTTATTCATATTTTTGTTATAGATTAAACTTTCAGAACTTGATATTTAAGCAATATGCTGTCATCGTTTTTATCAAAAAGACAAATGAGAGAAAGAGAGAGAGAGAAATTCGGTTTTAGCCCCCCCCTTTCAGGCTTCATCAAATGTTTGTACCGATATCAAACAAAAATTCTTCATTTTTTTCTAAATATATCAGGCAATGAAAGAAACTTTTTTTTTTTATCAACAAATCCATTTGTTTGACAGTCATACTCGTTTCTTTTTTCACTCATTTTTTTTTCCTGCTTCAAGTTCACAAGTTCACACGAAGTCCAGGTGCTTGTCCTGTCAATCAAAATTATTCGACACTGTGCAGGTGTGTAAGTCTCGTCACACTGAAGACGAAGTGCTAGTATCTCCAAAAAGTTTTAAATTTTTTTCAATCATTTCTAGATTTGATTCCAACATTTTTATATAAATAAATAATTAATATACATTGGGCATTAACACTTCAATTTGAAACATACTCTCTGCCAATTTAAAATACCACCGCCGACACGTGTATATTTTGAACTACTATTGTTTAATGACTTTTTTAGATGCGTGGTTTTTTTTGAGACTGAAATTTTTTTGTACAAAACACATTAACTCCTTTTTGAATGTTTATAAAATATACTGGAAATACTGACTAAGTAACTGATTTAGGCAGGAAAAAAGGGGGGGGGGGGGGCTCTTAATCATATCGAATGGCAAACATATACATGTAAAGTTACAGTGAAGGAAGAATTTATTTTCTCTGTAACTATAGACTTTATATTATTATAGTAGAGAAAATCTGTAGTGTACGTATTACATTTAAAATAAATATTTTTATAACCACACTATCAATTTAATTCGCTCCAAAGATATTTAATTAACAAGATATCCGCAGTACTATGTATAATTCTCAGAACTAGTTCTATCATGTATTTCTGTAGTAATTGAAAAAAAATGAGTTTAATTAGAAATAAATATTTTCGTAATTTTGCTGCAGTGTTAGAAATAAATATTTTCATAATTTTGCTGCAGTTTGTAACTTAATTAACTTGGATAATTATCTCTCCATTAACGATTTGTCGTCTATAACATAACAACAAAATGTTGCAGTGCTTGAAGTATCTAGATATCGCCCATATTTCAATTAAATTTTTCAGCATCGTTCTACATACATGTAGGTACATACTTATAACAACATTTATTTCCCAGAGTAGATTAATAAATAACCTTACAGCAAAGTTAGAGTAATAAAAAAAAAATAATGTTAGAATATTGTGGATATTTTTTCCAATGAGATAAAGATTCTTTAAACACGATATGTTAATTATTAAATTAAAAAACCTGTAAATCCTTACTTACAAAAAGATAAGTCCTTTCACTTCAGAGTTCCGAATGACACTGAAGACTGAATGATAAGTGAACGCTGAATGCAAAGTGAACGAACGGAGAGCGAATGCTGAATGCTATGTGAACGGTGAACGCGAGCGCACAGTGAACACAGAACTCAAAACTGTGAATGGAGAGTGAACAGTGAACGCACAGTGAATGAACGGTGAACGCACGCTGAACGAACGGTGAGCGAACGGAAAAATGGGAAAGTAGAACGTTTCAGGGACTGTACAGCTGACCTCCTATGACACCTCCCTGTGTACACACAAATTAATACACAGGTGCTATATCCCTGTTACACAAAATAATACACTCTGAAACTTTCTCTGTCACAATTTTCTCCCTCGTCTGTGTCAAACTATCAAAATGAGTTGAACCCGATGTATTTCAAATAGTAACCAAACCTGATTATAAAAAAACGTACTGAACCGAAAATCTTGAGAGTGAATCAAACATTGAACCGAGCAGAAATATTGAACAATACTAATCGATATTTCGTTGAATCGTTTCAGCCCTAGACATCGGTGTGTAGAACTACTTGGCCTACTATTAGCCTACTATTAGTCACAGCCTGACTATTCCTGCTCGTTTTGATAATCATCTAATCCTTTCGTGACAAGTGTTTTGTCATGGAGTGAAGAAGATTTCAGTTGTGACGTTTATTTATAACTGTTATTGTCATCATTTCTTTATTTTCAATGCCATTTTTTGTATTGAACACAGGGATGTGCAATTAGCATCGCCCGACGCCCGGGGCTACCATTTTTTGGGGTCGGGCTAGTGGTTTTCTGCATGCAGGTAGCCCCATGGGCTAGTAAAAATTAAAAATACCATCGTAATATATGAAAATAACTACCGGTATTTTCACTCATTTTTTGTTTTTAAATTCCCAACCAATGAAAAATTTCCAGGCAGCATGCTCCTCTAGTTCATAAATCTCCATAATCTTATCCATTTTGCAGCACTTCCTGACTTATTTACTTCCAAAAACGATCGTTTTTTTTTCTAATCCGAATTTCCTTCATTCATGTGTTTATGGTAAATAAAGGCAGATATCTCATTAAATCATTTACGATCACGAAATCAACTGAAAAATAAGTGTTAGGTGCTTTAAATAAATATATTTTTAGTGTATTTAATTATTTAAGATTATAAAAAATGATTTCATTTCGTTTTAGATGAGCTAGTGCAATGCACATAAGAAGGAAAAGTAATTTTAAAATTTCATTTTTATTTTCTATCGTAATTAATAATTTATACATGATTCAATTTTACTAGTGAGAATTAAACTTTGATTTTAAAAAGAATGGCCTTAAAGCCCTGACTTTTTCAACAGTGAATTCAATATTAGTTGTTACCCCCCCCCCCCCCCCCCTACATTTGGGCTAGTAACTTTTTACTTGGGGCTAGTAACTTTATTGCTGCCACTAGCCCGTGGGCTAGTACTTGATTTTTTTAATTGCACACCTCTGGAACAGATTCTAATATATAAACCAGACCCAAACCAAAATCCGGAAAAATGGAACCAAAACTGAACCGAACAACTTGGACCGTGATTTTTCGGTCATTTCGGCCCTACTTTACAGAGATAGATGTTACAGTGGTGCTTGGTAAATATATTTATTTTTATACACATTTTTTATTATCTTTGTAATTAAAAGTAAGTATTAGTATTTGTAAATGTTTTTTAATTATTATCGCTTTATTCTTTGTTTTTCTTGTATATATTACCATAATTAAAATCTATGGTCAAACCTTACAACTGACATGTCTTTATTGAACCTGTTATCTACCGACATGGTCTACATTCGAACCCTGTACCCCTTTTTTCACAATAAAAATAAGTTTTAAGAGCTGTCTTAAAGGTCAGGAATAAGTTCACCATCTGCACGTTGGAAATGAGTCTCTATATTATGTCGGACTGTCCTTCCTTGTGATATTTTTACATAATACTAAAACTGTTACATGCTTTTTTCGCAATTTTTTACTTCCTGTTTTAAAACCATTTTACCAACACTTGTCCTTACTGAGCCTGTAGAAAGTAAGGGTTTTTTTTATACCGATATCAATTCGTCCAGACTTTCCTGTAACGTGTGTCCGAGAGTTGTGTTTCTGTACAGTTGGTAGCTCATTTTTCTTTTCACTGACTCCCGACGTAAACACAGTTTTTTGGATTTGTTGCCTTTTGAATTATTACAAAAAACGCATTGCCGATCAAGATGAATTTTGTGTCACGTGATTTTGCCTTGTCCAAAATGGCGGATGACAGCGGGACGGAAAGTCAGCTGCTAGGTAAATTCGTAGAAAAACAAACGAAGTATGGAACTGCAACACGATTAGTGGCAAAGTCATCTCTACTGGTAAAACACAGAGTGTGTCAGTCGGATACTCTGATGGGAATTGCCTTGAAATACGGATCTTCGGTAAAGTATAATAAAACACATCTTTTCACCATATTTTAAATTCCAGTTCTGGTAAAGATACCTAGAAACCGAAATATTTTGTAAAGTTAAACTCTGATAAGATACAAATTTATTAATTCCTTGAATGGAGAATTCACGACTGTTTTATTCTCTATGTAGACACAAAATGGGTCACATAGATAGAATGTTCTATCGTTAAAATGATAAATGTCCTACGGACCCGGTTTAACGATAGAATGCGCTCCGTGTATTGTCAATATAGCAAAGAAAATACGGGAGATAACTCTAACTCAGTGCATTTACTAGGAAAAATCCCGAGAGTTCCGAATGTCAACATGGTGTGTAAATTTGAAACGAGTAAAAAACGTTGGTGAAAAGTGTTGAATTCTTCCATTTTGTGGATTAAATTTTTAGATGAAAGGTATTTACAGTCTCAAAAAGGTTTGTTATGATTACTTTGACTGTTATTTTCAATGCAACTTCATTAATTTTCTCCAAAATCGTTTCGGAGCGATTCTGCAATTTTCTGCTACATTATGGGTATATGGGAGGCATTCTAACTGTGGTGAGGGCCTGTCCCGAGACACAGTTAGATTATTCTAACTATGGGTCACAGTGCTCCCCCAAGTCTCTGTTAAATCTCAAATATGAAATAAGTACAACATAGATAGATAAAAGCTCTTATTATCATCTTGAAAGTAAGTATGTGATTTCAACAACGTTAATGTTCTTACAATAAACTGAGGATTGATGTCAACTCGATGAATTGTAGGCTTAATCAGAATTTTTTTTTTGCGTATAATTATATATAGATCACAATCATATGATTTTTAGAAATAAGTTAACAACCAGTACCTGATAAATTTATTCATCATATGTTTCACTTACATTCAGGAATAACACAACATATCAAATTAGATAACAGTAATAACATTAATTATGAAAGTGTTGTCTGATTTTTTCATCCAAAGTGAAGCATAGAATTTTAATGACAGACTATTTTACCAAAATTTCCAAGAAACTCTTTCACATTGGAGACAGATTGAGAACAATGGCATGACAATAGATCTCTTGGGAAAATGGATTTTCTTGGCATGAAATATCAAATTAGAATAAAAGTACTTGGTAAACTCTGAGCATGTAACTATTTGTTCGGGCTAGCTGCAATATGTAGCCATCTCCAATTTTTTTTCAATTTGATATTTTCTGGAGAGGGCTACAATTCCATAGCATCTCCGTAGTGGTGCAAATTCTATTTTTTAAATACGGGAGACTGCAGGCAAAATACATGTAAATTGTTTTTACATTCAACTTATTTCTTATCAGATGACATTTTTATTCACTGTCAACAACATAGCCCTTTAAATGCAAAAACTAGGTAAAATAAATCTATGTGTTTACCAGTCATTCTCCTTTCATTAGCAGCCGGCCATGACAGTTCTCACGTGATGTACTGAGACTTGCGCTTGAAATTTAGAATAACTTGATAAAGCATAGGTCAGTGTTGATAAATGATTGTGTTGTATGGCGCATCATTAAACGTTGATAAATAAAACTATTACATGTAATGATTTTTTGTAAACAGTGATATTTATACTTAAAATAGGGGAATTCCTAAATAGTTCCGCTCCTTAGATCCTGAATTCTCATTGGCTGTCCCAAAATAAAATCGATCAAGGTCAGTAAACATGGCAGATAAATTCAAGTTGTGATGTTAACATACATGAAAAATAACAGATATATGTATATGGATTGTTCTGTATTATTTTGGATCGATTTATGCTTTGCATAACTACATTTTTGGAGTACAGGTAAGAAATGTTAATAAAATAGCCATTTACTGATAATTTGAGCCTACTTGAGCAGGAGTGAATCACTCCTGCACTTGCACCATTACAGAGATCCTAAGGAGAAGTAAGCCCCCCCCCCCCCAAAAAAAAAGAGGGCTACGTTATTGCAGCTATGTTTGGGCTAGTTTAATAATTATAGTGAATATTACCCAAGGGGCATGTGATGAAAAAAAGATTGAGGATTACTGTAATTATTACATAAGTACATAGATTTAATAGATATTTTGATTTGATTTGATGTAAACAAAAATGTCACAGGTCTGACTTAATTTATCAGAAATAAACCCCTATTTGTTTAAATGTTGTGAAAAAAATTACCAAAGATGATAATGTTTTTAATTTTATTGCACACTACCACTGGTAGCCATCACTGAAGACATGTTTGACTAATGCAAGAAATACCCCACTTAAGATTATTCTTTAGAATATATACACTGTTTTCAAAGGATTTTATATCAGAAATAGCAGAGTTTCCAAAAAAAACACCAATCTGCCTGGCATCCCCAGTGAATTTTGAATGGGACCAGTAAAATCTGAATTTTATTTGTCAAAATATCTGGTGGTTTTTCTAGACTTTTTTAAAATGACACAGAAAATCTTAACAAAATCATTTTATTCAATTGTCATTTTATCAAATTATAAATATAGAGAAATTTTTTAAGAAAAGCCAAAGTAATAAATAATTTTTTTTCTTCAATCTATATTTTCCAACTCTTCTTTTAGGCCATACCAATTTCTAATATAGTTCGTCGGATTCGCCGCTTCTATTTACAACAAATCCAAATTATAATATTATAAAAAAAAAATCCGTGCGCTCGTCCAAAAATATCCGTATACAATTTTTTTTCCCGACTTTTTACACAAAACGCACAAAAGACTTGGAAACTTGTTTGACAGAAGTGCGGGACTTAGAATGTTTGTAACAGTTTGTGAAGTTTTGCACGATGCCTGTGTAACGTACTGTTCGTATGTACCAGGGGTGAGCAATTAGCATCTCCCGACTCCCGGGGCTACCATTTTTGCGGGTCGGGCTAGTGGTTTTCTGCAAGGAGGAAGCCCGACGGGCTAGTAAAAAATTTAACTACACACGCAATACATGACAAGCATAATCAGTATTTTCACTCATTTTTTTGCTATAAAATTCCCAACCAGTTAAAATTTTCCAGACAACATGCTCCGACTGTCAATAAATCTCCATAATCTTATCTGTTTTACAGTTCTATCTAACTATTTACTTCCAAAAACGATCGTTTTTTCCTAATCCGAATTTCCTCTATTCCTCCAATTATGGTAAATACATGCAGATATCTCATTAAATTATTAACGATCACTCAATCAACTGAAAAATAAGTGTTTTGTGACTTACATTAAATATATTTCTAGTGTATTTAATGATTTAAGATGAAAACAAAATGAATATAATTTCATTCTAAATGAGCTAGTGCAATGATCAGAAAAAGGAAAGATAATTTACTTAAGTTCATTTTAATTTTCTTTCATAATAATTTATACATGATTTATATTGATAGTGAGAATTTTTAACTTTAATTTTAAAAAGAATGACCTCAGTACCCTGACTTTTTCAGCAATTAATTTCTTCTCAACATTAATTAGTATTTATTTTAATTTTTGCCCCTCTATTTGGGCTAGTAACTTTTAACTTGGGGCTAGTAACTTTGATTGACTTACTTGATTTTTTTTTTTATTGCACACCCCTGTGTACTATAGTTAAAAACAATGGGTACAAAGTAGTTCCATACACAGCAATAGAAATGGAAGCATAGGAGACGTTTGAAGCTTTGTTTGATGAAACAATAAAGAGAATATCATCAACATATGAAAAATACACACAAGGTTAAGTAAATATTGACCATATTTGTTCAATAAAAATTAAAGAAAATTCAAGAAGCGATGCAATTGTGATTTTGAAACCTGACATGACCTTAACAATTTGCAAAGAATTAAACAGAAAATTTGTAGAAATGAAACTACATCTAAATTGCAATGTTACGAGAAACAAAAGAAAGACACGTTTTCACATCTTATGAGTGCAGAGAAAACGTTTTCTCTCCCAGAAAAAAAATAATAGGAAAAAGAGGAGAACTTAGAAAATTTTGCCACCTATATTAATTATATTCGCTCGCCTCATAATTTTGAAACCCGAAATGAAAAATAATATTTGTAAAATTATTTCGCTCGCTCGCCTCACTTTTTATTTTTCAAAATCCGAAGAACTATTTTACAAATTGGTGTGGCCTTACTAGGACAATTTCTTATTTGAGTTAAAAATGGATGCTAGAAATATAGGAACAAGGATGTAGTTAGTAGCTACAAGAAAAAAAGCCATCAATCATATAAAACTCATCTATGTGTTATACCAGGACCTGATACCTTTAACTAGTCTTCATGACATTTTTTTCACCTTTGATCCGTAATTAACAATGAAGTAAAGAATGTTAAGGGGGATTCATAATGGGAACTTGCAGTCCTAAGGCCCACCTGATCACAGAATACAGTGACAATTTAGACAAACTATATAGAAATAGGAATAAATTAAGCTGAACTGTTTTTTAACTGATTATTACTTTTATGTACATGATTTTTTAAAATTTTATCTAAAGCATTAACCATGTTAATATCTGGTAAATTTTATAACTGGTAAATTTTGAGTATTTACAGGACAATAGTCTGACAGATTTTTTACTAGTTTTTAGGAACTTTGAAACAGAGAGATATAAAATCAACAATGATTATTATTATTTTAAAAAATAAGGTGAAAGACACATATTCAACATAATGAAAAAGGTGAAGATAACAGACAGTACTAGTAATTGATCTAGAGAAAAATCCACAAATAACACTATTTTGTGAACAGGGCATAAAACACTGACCCTTGGAAATTTCAGAGTTGGGATCAGATGACTAGGAGGAGTAAGAATCCCCTGTGGACCTGTCACACCTCTGCCATGAGCCCTAGGTATTGCTCAGGTAGATGAAATATTCCATAGTCAAATTTGGTATTAAAATTAAAGGGACCTGGACACAGTTGCATATTCCTATTTTGTATACACTTTAAAATTCCTGTCTTTATTTAAGGAATAACTGTCTTATTTTTTGGATTCATGATGTGATCAATCGAGTGGCTTGCGT